TCCGGGGTGCAGGAGGCTTTCCTGTTCGCCTGCCATAGTTCTGAGATGATGGGGAGAGGTCTCAGCTTTGGCTAACCCTCGCCAGCACCTATAGTGTCCAGTCACACTATGTTCACATCTATGCCCACACCTTTCAAAGTTTCTGGCCTTGTTTTTGCTGTTCCCTCCACCTGGAGGACCCTTCCTTCCTTTCTTTAATAACTAGAGTCTCAACTATCTTTCAAGGCCTGGTTCAAATGCCACTTCCTCTATGAAGACTGCTCCAACTGCCACCCTCAGTAGAGATGAAGCCTTCCTTTCAGTGCATGACCACAGCAGGCTGCTTTCCCTCTGCTTCAGTTTCATTTTTCATTCTGCCTGACTTTGCGTTTCTGCACTATATAGTGAACCTTAAATGAATGTTAATCCAAACTGAAATTTGTCATATTACTTAGTCTTAAGAGGATGTGCCTTCAGGTGGGGGGGGGGTCTGGGGATTGAACCCAGGGCCTTCTATATGCTAAGCACATACACAAGCACCAAGTTACCTCTCTAGCTGGAAGTTCTACTTTTGTTTGTGTGTCTGCAGGTTTTGTGTGTCAGGTGCCCTTTGCTCTCAGGTAATAGGGCCTTGGTTTTCCTCCAGGGAGCTGCAGGCCCATGTGCAGTCCATGAGACTGACATCTTTTCCAGGGATGAGCACGTGACTCTAACCTGACCAATCAGAAAGAGAGATGAGATGGGGGTTGGGCTTGTTACTGAAGCTCAGCCAGTCACAGCCAAGGAGCTGTAACTCAGGGATGTTTGCTGATACTCTCGGAAACAATGTCAGGCTGAGGCTGCTGGTACCCATTTGTTTACCACAGGTGTGGGGATAGGTTGCCTGAGAACCATGCCTTGGGAGGCAGAAAATCAAATCAGAATAGACAGCTGGGGACACTGGCTTTGCCACCAAGATGGCCTGCACAGGGGTAGAAGGCCGCCTGCAGAGTAGGCACCAACATGTCTAGTTCAGCACATACCACCTGACACAGGAAGCCAGGGCCACATGTGGCTTGCTCCTTCATAGCTGAGCCCAGCCCCTGGCAGGAGGCCCTGGTAGAAGGCGATCAACCAGCTTAATGCCAGAGACTGTGGGAGGGTGTGGAACTCTAGTACACTGAGAAGAATATAGCATTTGTGGTCAAATTTGGCTACAGCCACTTTCTAGTTGGGAAGTCTCCACCTCATTTGGCTTCAGTTTCATCTGTAAAATGGGCTAATAATGTCTATTCTAGTGTTAGTGTGAGAATTAATGCAGACACTGTAAATAAAGTATACAGCACCTAGCAGCCAGACAGTGGGGTGATTCTTATTACTTGTGGTTAGGGTTTCAAGCAGGACCCAGCTCTAGGAGGAATGTAGGGGAAGGAGGGAAGAAGATTAGGACAGAGTGAATAGAAGCTAAGACAGGAGCTCAGCTCTGACCTGATCACTGTGCTGGGCTGTCAGGAAGGGAGGAAGTACATCAAAATCATCTTTGAAGCTCAGAACTAAGCACCATGCCTGAAGCAGAGGAGGATCATTATAAATATTTGCTGACTTTAAAAACAGAGATTGCATTTACATTTGACAGTTCCTAGGATTGTCTAGGCCATGTAAGAACCACCTAGTTGGGAGAAAGACACAACTGTGACAAAAAGAAAAGTATACAGGGGTTGAAGTAGAATGATGCAGGTTGAGTTCTGGCTTTGTCACTGTGTCTATGTGACGCTAGGCATGTCCCTTAATTTCCAGATGCTTCAATTTCTTCATCTGTAAAATGGAGCTAACACTGCAGCTATTTGTAAAGGATGTGGCCCAGTTCAGAAAGTTCTGGTGGCCCTGGAAACCCAAGAGGGTGACCATGGCTCTGGAGCAGCTGGAGCAAACCAGATGTGCAGTTTAGGATGCCAAAGGTCAGGCTAGGAGAGGTGCTGCCAGATGTGTGGCTTGCCAGGAAGGGCAAGGAGAGACACAGACTGTGGGCAGGAGAGAGCACAGTGAGAGAAGTGGAAGAGCATTCCTGAACTATGCTCCATAGTGGAAGCGAGGGGTCCCTTGGACAAGGTCCTTCAAGACAAATCCGACAGTGAGAAGTTACCGCCTGCCACTCTAAGTGTTTTTGTGGCTACATTCTTTAACTCTCACAATCACCCTGGTTGGGTACTATTTTTATCACAACTCCACAGATTAGGAAGCTTAGGCTTGGAAGTCACACAGAATTTTAGCTTGGGGCTAGAAATATTTTTATTTTTTTATTAGTGCATATTGATTATACAGAGTAATGGATTTAATCGTGGCCTTTTCATACATGTATATAATATACTTTGATCATGCCCACCCCTCCAGCATCCTCCTCTGCCCTCCCTGGTTCTGTTCCTCCTCCCTGTCTCTCTTCCACTTCCATGTCATTTTTTTCTCCCTTAGATGCCACATAAGAGAGAAAACATGATACTTGCCTTTCTGAGTCAAACTTATTTTGCTTAACCGATGGTCTCCAGCTCCATCCATTTCTCCATAAATGATAAGATTTCATTCTTTACAGCTGAACAATGTTATAGAGTGTGTATATACTACATTTTCTTTATTCATTCATCTGTTGATGGGCACCTTGGCTGGTTCCTTAACTTGGCTATTGTGAATTGTGCTGCATTGTAGCTCAAGTTCTTAGCCAGATTACTGCTGGTGCACAAAGCAGGGTGGTTATGGTGACCTATAAAGAGAAGAGCAGTTATTTAAAGCCATTTTTGAATTGTAAAGTGCTGGGAAGATTGAGGTGCTGTTGAATCCAGTATGTTCATATAACTTCTCTTGGACTCTGAGTAACACTCTGGAAGCAGTGCTTGAGGCAGTGCTGGTTAAGGAGGACCAGCTCTCTCAATGAGCCTGAGCTGGAGCTGAACTCTCTCCCAGAAGGTCTTTAGGATGGTGGCTGCAGGGGTTCTGGTGGCCAGTTCTATCTTCATGGTCCCCGACTCCCTGCTCCCTTGTGCTCCTGATGAATCAGTGTCTGTTGGGCCTTCCTAGGTCAAACACAGCTCAGGCAAAGGGAACTCCGGGCTAGAGGGTAGATGGCAGAACCCACATGGCAGGAATCTAAGTGTTCCTACCTCTCTTGATCACAGCATTTCAGAGCCAGAAGGCTCCCTGGAATTCTCCTATACCCACAAGCTGCCAAGCATGGAGAGAGAGATTTGGGGTGCTGAAAGCCCTACTCCAGCAGGTGGCACAAATGTGCAGTTGCAATCACCTGCAGCCCATGAGTGATGTCTTAGGCTGACCTCACCAAGAGAACAAGGTAGAGGAACAGCTGTGTGGGCGGGAGATTCTCGGGAGCCAGCCTGAACAGGAGTGAAATACACGGCTAGTAGGAGGGAGGCAAGAAGGGCGAGGATAGGGGAGGGCATGGAGCACATGCCTGAGCCAGAAGTACCAGGAACTCACTGGGGCAGGGGGACAGACACCCTGATTTAGGGTCTCCAGCTGACAAGATAGAGCGTGTGCCTCTTAGACACTAGCCCTGCTCTGGAAGATAGACCTTTCTGGAGCGGCCCTACTGTTGACGGTGGGCTTCTCTCAGGCCCACAGTGCAGTGGTCACACCCCCTCGGCTGCTCTCCTCCACACATTCCCCCTCAGGGAGTCAGGGACTATTAGCCAGGGAGGGAGGGGAAAGAGGACTCTGTCTCTTCACTCTCCAGCCCCAACACTTCCTTGCCCCTAAACCTAAGACAGGGGAAGCGGGGAGCCTGTAGTGAGATGGTAAGGTATAAGGGGGTGGGGGAGGGAGTCATCCTCTGCCCCCCATCCCCCTCTGCCTCTTCTCCAGCCCAGGGCCCACTCCAAAGCCCCATCCACAGAAGCGGCCTGCCAAGGTGCATGGAGGGCCAGAAGAAACATGGCAGCAGACACAGGGAGGTCTACATCTCCACAGACGGAATTGCATGTTGGGCTCACATATGGTCAGCAGCAGTCTGTGCACCTTATTGAAATGTGATGGACCTCTTGTACAAAAGCAATCCCTTCTTTCACTCAGAAGAATTTGCTGAGCACCTATGATATGCTAGTGGAGTTCTTGCCCTCAAGCCACTGAACAGACTAGAGGAAGTATGTTAACAGGTAAACATACTGGGTGGGAATGCTGAAGACCCACATAGGCATCCTAGCATCTCTGTAAATTGGGGATAGCTGATGCAACACGAAAATACTAAACTCATTCATGACTTTCTGAAAATAGGACATGAGTAGGTCATGAGAAAACTAAGAATTAGAGAATGACTCACATGTGCTCAGCTCTTGTTCAAGAAGCAAAGTTTCTAGAGGTCTGGGATAGCTGCAAGACTGTACACAGGAAAATTTATATTCTAAAGAGCCTTCATTTTCAAATAGAGGTTTTTATTTCTTACAGTTTGTTTTTTTTCTTTGGAGAATACTTTGGCTGTAGAGGTTCACAACGGCCCAGGTCTATGCAGTAGCAGCTTGGACCTGGGGCAGGTGTGAACCTCATCCCTGTGAGGCAGAGGGGCAAGCATCCGGTTCAGGAGAAGCTGCGGCAGGAAGTGCTTAGCAAAGGGGCTGTTCCAGCAGACAGTGTCTGGGACACGCTGAGGGAGACAAGGAGTGACAGGAGAATGCACTCAAGTCAAAGCTCCAAATTCTGCGGGAAGAAGTGAATCTATGACCATGGCATCACAGAACACAGGCTTGTGTGACAAATTACCTCCTCTTCTCTGTACTCATTTATAACATGGGAATAATAATGGCATCATCCCCCATGGGTGATACAAAAATTAAATAACAATACAGGGAAAGCACTTAGGGCAATGCTCTAGTATGTGCTCAATAAATGTTAGCTTTTTATCACTTACTTTTTTTCTGAGGGGGAGGAATGGCAAGTAATTCACTAATATCAAATATACAAATATTCTCAGTGGTTTCTGTAAATCACATTTCATTTTGCCGGTGGAAAAAAGGATATGTAAATTATTTCAACTTGATATGTACATACTTTAAAATATTACATTTATTTTTTTAAAAACCAGCACAGTAAGAACTGCCACATAAATTACTTTTTACTAACAATGACAGGTTTCTTCTCAGTTCAAGTACACATATTTAACTACAGATTAAAGACCTATAATTCTCTTAAAGCTCTTTACATCCTGAAGTTCTATAAAACTAAGCGGGAAAACATAAACATTAAATGAAAATCAATTTTGCACAAACACATACAATCAAGCAGTTTAAAGTATCACCTGAAATATCTGTACTTCAGGAACAATCCCAAATGACAACACTGTGTCAGAACAAGATTTCCATTATTCCCTGGGGTCTGTCTTGTGCAGTCTGTTCTTCACATTTCTGTCACCAAGCCTTGGCAAACAATTAAGGGAAACTTTTTCCAGGCAGGGGCCTTATTTTTGTGCACATTCTTTTTCTTTTTCTAAATTCAGTTTCTAAAAACAGAGGCTTCTCCCTTGACACCATGACCTCTAAGATATCAGAGTGGCCATGATTAAGTGTCTTCCTTTCTCTGGGGAGTCCCACAGGTCTTTGTGACACCTAGCTCTGACCCCTCCTCTCACCTGGGGGTCCTCCGTGGTGAGGAGATAGTCTCTAGGGAGACTGAATGAATAAGCTTCATACCTCTACTGGGCAAAAGAGAAGGCCTGGTCCTCTCCTAATGTCCTTTATCTTCCTCTGAATTCAGAGAAAGCTTTTTATACCAGAATGTGTCAACCCACAGCAATAAGACTTTGAGGAACTAAAAATGTGAAAAGTCATTCAGGGACCAGACCTTAAAGAAAGGTGTGTGTATCACTGTGCACCAGTGGGTTCCTATTTTTAGCTGCGTGAGTGCAGAGGTTTGGCAGCAGAACTAAACTCTGTGTTCTGTGTGCATCTGCAACCCAGAAGGGACAGGTGTCCTGATAGGACCCAGCCAAAAATGGAAACCAGGAGCCAGGTGCTGGGACTGGAAAGGAAGTGCACTTGTGTTGGTGTTGCTGCCACTGTGGTCTGACAGCACCTTGAATCCTGTGTGAAATATGTTTATCTATTATCTTTCAAAACATTTTGATCACCAGTCTAAGCCAGAGAAATGAACATAATATTTCAATAGGAAAATTTTACATTTCATAAATATTATATTGTCATAATTGATTCATCTTTCCTGGGCACTGATAAAATAAAACATCCCATCACAAGCTTCCAGAAGCACTGCTGTAACAATGAGAGAAGACACAGTGAGACAGACCACACTGGCATCTCTTTCCTTCTGAGGGCACCACCTTCTGGGCCTGACAGACAGCTGAGGACAAAGGTTTCCTCTGGCCTCAGCAGAGTGGTGTGTCCCTTCTCCAGTGTGACAGGAGGGCCTTGTGTTGACAGCCTTTATGCAGCAGCCTCTAGGAATTCTGAGGTGAACACAGCTTCTGCGTAGTCTTCACATGCATCCTGAAGTTCTGCGGCCACGTCCCCCAGGGCTTCATCTACCAGCTCTTCGGAAAAGCTAGAAGGCAAACAACACAGCTGAAGGCATGGACGGCCAAACACAAACCAATCTTTTCTCAGCTGAGGAACTCAGCAAGTCAGCCCTAAAATTCAAATGGAAATGCAAAAGGCCAAGAAGAGGCAGGATAGTAAGATGGTGATGCTCAGATTCCAAAGGCCTGTAGAGGCTTGTAACACAGACAAATGCACCTTGCCTGGGACGGCTGAAACCAGAGATGACCAGAAAGCAGCTGCAATCCAGTCCCAGGTCAGATACACTTTGGATGACCTGCATGCAGGAGGAAAGGGTGTGTGCCTCCTCTATGGGAGAAAGGGCAGGATGCCCAAGTCTGTGCTGCTCTATCTTTCCCTCTGCACCCCACCCTGCTCTTCTGAGAGCAGGCTGCATGCTTAATATACCTCAACAACTTCCACGTGTTTCCTAGAAACAAACACAGCCTCTCAGATAACTGTGTTGTCATTAAAAATTAACATCCATACAGAATTATTATCTAGTCTTATCTACAGACCATATTCAAATTTCGCTAACCATCCAAATAACATCCTTTTAAAAGAAAACTTTCTGTAGCTCAGGATTCAATCCAGGATCACGGACTGCATTAAGCTGTCATGTTTCTTTAGTCTACTCTAATCTGAAAGAGTTCCTCCATCTCTGTCTTTCATAACCTGAACACTTTTTGAAATGTAAAGGCCTTTTTTTTGGTAGAATGTCCTTGAATTTGTGTCTGTGTCAGCTTACAGTTTTGGAACAATGCCATAGGAGGGATATTGTGTCCCCTCAGTGCCTCATGATATCTATTAGTTCCATTACTGATGACTGGTTTTTGTTTGTTTGTTTGTTTTTGAGGCAGGGTCTCTCTATGTAGTTCAGACTGGCCTTGACTGAACTCACTATGTAGCCTCGGCTGGCCTTGAACTCAGAGCGATCCTCCTGCCTCAGCCTCCCAAGTGCTGGGATTACAGATGGGTACCACCATGTCTGACAGATGACTAGTTATTTTGAACACTTGGTTATGGTGATGTCTGCCAGGTTTCCCCCTTGTAAAGTTACTATTTTCCCTTTGTAATTAAAAAGTATATTGTAGGAGGATAGTTTGAGACTATGTAAATATTCTGTTTCTCATCAAACTTGCCTGAAATCAATTACTACAGGTTCCCCCAACTGATTTTCTAATTCCATCATTCCCTCTCCATTTAACACAGTTGGCATTCCACTGTGATAAAGAGCTTTTCCTTTTCCTTATTTATGTATTCACTCAATAATTCACTAATTCATTCACTCATTTGTATCAGTTTGGCCTCACAGAGTCTTATTTTTGTAGCCCCTTACTATTACTGCTTGTTTTAATGCTTAAAAACATCCTGGCTCTGGTCCATAGTAGCCCCTTCAAGCTGGCTGGTGTGTCCTCGACATGTCCCGTCATTCTTTGAGCATTTCCTTTCTGGCACAACATGACGTCTTATATCCCCAGTCCCAGCCTTAGTCCTGGAACCAGTCATTTCTCTAAAGAGCCTTGACATCTCTTCATGAAAAACAATACTAAGAAACCAAGATGTGGGTACCAGGCCTGATAATTGCTGCTGGTACCTCTGGTTCTAGGCCCTCTCAGTGAGTCTAGGAAATACACACACACACACACAGAGCCCTCCATTTATATTTCTTTTTTTTGTCCATTTATATTTCTATACCCTTCAAAAACTATTATTCACAAGGATACCTGCAATTCCAATCAACAGAGGATGCATCCTAGCCCATCCTCAGAAACCTTGCTCTCATTATTCAAACTGTACTCCCTTATTTGATCCATCTTAAAATAATAGTCATTTTCGAATTGCTAACCCATGCCACTGTGCAAAAGGATGTTGTTTCTGACCCATTTTCTTACTTTCCTTTCCCCCGGAAACTCTAATTAACATATATACTAGTAGACCTCCTTCCTTTAGCCTCTCTTTAGTTTTTATCTTTGGGTCTCTACATTACCACTCCAGATATTTTTTCTGTCCTATGTTCCAAGTCTCTAAGTTTTTCTTCTGTTGTGTCTCATTCGCTACTGAGCCCATCCAATGACTTTCTAATTTTAGAAACTGTATTTTTTATTCTAGGATGCACATTTGGATTTTTAAAGGTTCTAGTTCTCTGCCAAATGTATCTTCTATTTATATCAACACATTAGGCAGTTATTTTAATGTCAGTGAAATAGCTTTAATATTTGGAACTGCTGTGGGTCTGTCTTGTTTTGTCTCTCTGTTCCCTGGTCATCTTTTACTATACACCAGACACTGTATTTGAAAATTGTAGAAATAAGTTGAGTCCTACAACAATGTTATTTTCTTCCAGAGAAAATTTATGTTGGCTTATTCCTGGAGACTAGGGGGCAGCAACAATCTAGAATCAGCTTAACTCAAGTGGAGTCGCGGAGAGTCCTATTCAAGTCACCTGAAGTTGGAAAGTGGGGAAAAAATGTAGCTCACTGGTAGAGCAATTGCCCAGCATGCACAAGGCCCTGGGTTCAATCCCCCAGCACTGTAAATAAATCAAACAAGACAAAAGTGAGAAAACTTTGCCAGGGCAATTGCTTCACCTTGGTAATCCCTGGATTCTCTGTCTGCTGACCTGAAAAGGCTACCACTGTGGGGCTCGTCTCCCTCCAGAAGTAACTATCCAGTGCCATACAATGGCCAACCTTTCTGGGTCTGTTTTATCCAAGATCCTGGCCTAGTTATTTTTTATTACTGAGTTAACTTCTTGATGCCTTCAAGCATGTATGTTTTATTTTTAATATAGCTTTTCTATTAGCAGATATCCTCAGTGGGAGAGGTGGTCCAAATTACCAAGTGCATCATTACTAGAAGTAGAAGTGACCACCTCATTTTTAGATTTGCTCTCCTATTATTTCCACCATGAATTCATTACCAAACAATGAAATACAAAGCTACTTCCAATACATTTCAACACAGCAGGTTGAACCTCCTCCTTCTTTTGCAGTACTGGGAGCTGAACACAGAGCTACTGAACTGAAACCTCGGCCCTTTTTACTATTTTGAGACAGGGTCTAAGTTCCCCTCCCTCTCCCTAAGTTGCCCCAGACTGGTCTCAAACTTGCCATCCTCCTGCCTCAGCCCTCCTGAGTAGCTGGGGTGGCAGGTGTACACCACAATCCTGCCTCTAACTTTTCTCACTCTGTCTTTCCCTTGGGGAACCATCCCTCCTGAAGTCCTCTATCCCCCACCCCAAGACGGACTGGTTGTCTTTCTATGCTTACTGAAATCTTCTCCTAGAAATGGCTTTTGCGGTTTTTCTGGAAGTACCATATTGGAGTCTAACTTTCCTAAATCCCAAGTCTCACTTTTTCTTAATGCAGACCTTGCATTGGTGGCACACACCTTCCACTAGCTTACAGAAAAATAGTGTAGGGAAATTAAATTTTTGAATACCGTATACCTAAAACAATTTGATTTTACCCTTATCTTTGATAATTTAGCTGAGCACAGAAGTCAAGATTAAATTTTGGAACTGTATCTTTTAGCTTTTTCCAGTATTGCTACTGAAAATAACATGCCATTATCTTTTCCAATTATTTGAAGGTGTCTAGTTTTAATTTTATGTAATCTTTTGTCATTCTTTTCTTTATAACACAATGCTCAATTGTCCCTTTCCTAATGATATGCCATATTGAGTTCTGTTTAATTCATTCATTCCCTCACAGTGGACAACTGATGAACTTTTTCAATCTAAAAACTATAGCCTTCTAAAAGTTGTATTATAGTACTTCTGTGATAACTTCCATTTCTCTTCTTTTTCCATATTTGGGCACTTGTATTATTCAGTTGTTGGATCTCTTAGGACCGCTAATTTTAAAAAAATCTTTTCTGTCACCTAGCTCCTTATGTTTTTTATTGTACTGCCTGAGATATGAGGGTTTTCTTTAAACATTTGTAATCAATTTATTTCAGCCATCATGTTTTTAATTTCAAATAACATTTTTTATTCTCTCAAAGTTTTTTAAAAAAATAGAATCCTATTCTTCCCTCATGATATAATAGCTTCACTTACTTCTCTGAGGATATTAATTCTAGTTTCTTTTTTAAATGTTTTATTCTGTTCATAGCATTGTCACTGCTCCTTTTGAGTTTTCTTTATCTGTTACAACAGCCTATGTATCTTTCAAATGTCTAGTCATTTCAGCTGTCTGCTCATTTTCAAGAATGAGAATTAATTTCCACCAAGCCTCCTATTTCCTGGCTTACCTGTATCCATGCCTTCACAGCATATGATGCATCTGGCTCCTAGTCTTACCACAGTTCTACACAGATAAGCTTGATTCTTAGCTTCATTCTCACTACATGCTTTACTTTCTCTGGTCTGCTAAGTCATTTGCCATTTGTCTAACTGTATGGCTTCCAGATTCTTACTGATATTCTTGTTTGCCACCATTTATGATTTCATGCTTTTTGGTTTTTTAGCAACACACAGTGGGACAGGGATACAAGGAATAGGGATAAATACATATGTTCAATCTGTTCTTTTCAACCAAAAATCTCATTTTTAAAAAGAAAAACCAGGAACCCTTAGGAGTCTGCTTTTATCAAAAGCACTACCTTAAGTCTCTTTCCCCAACTAATGTTTTATTTGCCTCTAGCATACACCATCTACTCACTCTGATCATTGGGATGTTGTCTTTCTTCGGGTATAAGGAGGAACAGAGGTATTAAAGACTGAAACAAACAAACTCAGCTAGCTTCCCCCTTACCCAAGAGGCTACTGAATGAAGTCAACTGTCTTTGACTACTTCTTCAAATTCTGATCAATACAACTTTCATCTTTGGAATATCCAAGAAGTAAAAGCAAGAGAGATTTTAAAAACAAAAAAACAAGTAAGAGCAACATAAAACCACAGAGATAGAATGTTAAGATGCACTGTCACTTGGGGTCAAAGGATAACAGGAAAACATCTATAAAAATCCAGGCATATTTTAATAGCTCAGTGCTCTACACATTAACATATTGTTCCTTATAGGTTGGGAGAACTTTTCCCTATACCTACAAAAGAACTATAAACAAAATGCATCACTTTTTCAGGTGAAGAACATACAAGGAACAGGCTATCTTCCCTGGCTTGCTTTAGACTTCTCCATATGCCAGTCTGCCTAATTGATCCAGACAGGTTACAGGAAGAGTCAGTATGCCATGGGACTGTGTTACTACATAGAAGCAAGTCACATTTACTTCTTGTCTTCCCCCAGAAAATCCTTCAGAGCACTAGTGAAGACAGCATGCATCTCACCTAGAACAATGGGTCTTGTAAGCTTTGAAGAGTCCCGTATTAAAGACAAGATTCAAGACTTTAGGTTAACCTGAGGGCTTCATCATAAATGATTATCCCTGATCCTGCCCCTAATCCCACTAAAACACGAGGAAATATATAAACAAATACATCAATGTATAAAGAGAAAAAGAACAAAAGTAGATGAGAAATGTCCAAATTTTTCAGATGGTAAAAACCACATGAAGAATCATAACTGACTGAGCAGAACAGAGCAAGTCCAGAGGAAGTTGAGACCTAAAGGTCTGACGGGGGTGCTAAGGAAAAGCAAACTGATCTGTCCCACAAACATCAGAAAGGCTCAAGGGGGTTGGGTGAGGTATGAGGTAGAAAATTGGTTGAAAATTTACAGAATAAAAACAGGTTTTCTTGTTCCTACATATCTATGAGTGGTTAGACTGACAAATCTCCACTCCTACTTCTGGCAGTTAAGTGACAATCTCTTCTCTACCCCCACAAAAAAAGGAAGGTATATTCTCTGAAAAAAATGAACCAGTAATTTAAAACTCAGTGCAGCCAGGTGTGGGGTGCATATCTGTAATCCTAGCTACTTAAGAAGCTGAGGCAGGAGGACTTCAAGTGCAAGCCCAGCTGGGTAACTTAGCAAGTCTCTGTCTTAAGATACAATTTTAAAAGGGCTGGGATGTAGCTTAGTGGTAGAGTGCTTGCAAAGCATGTGTGAGGCCCTAAGTTTGATCCTAGTCTGCTAAATAAATATTTTAAAAACTAACCTCAGCTCAAGCATCATCAAGTATAAAGAGATATTTTTAAACTTGTAAGTCTCAAGAAATTTCCTCCAATATACAAACCAGGATAAATTCTATCAAGAGAGTAAACCAAGAAAGTGGAAGACAAGAACACTAAAAGCAAAGAAGCTAATATGGGAGGAAGGAAACCTACTGTCAATATGGGATGAAGTCCCAGAACTACAGCCACATGGCAGAGTAGGAGTGAAGACTGGCCAGATTAATGTGGGAAGAAGGGGCAGGGTCCTCTGGAGAAAAAGCCGAGGTAAGGTTGAAAATAGGGATTAACTGATATTTTATTTTTCTCTTATAAAACTTTGTTTTAATGGGTCTTAAACTTCTGTGACAGCTTTTTGGGCAAGTTGTTTCCATTAAAAAGTGTTGATTTAAAAAATAAAACTGCCAGGCCAGGGATTTAGCTCAGTGGTGCTGGCGCCTGCCTCGAAAGCATAAGGTTCTGAGTTCGATCCCCAGTACCGGAAAAAAAACAAACAAAAGAACTGCCACACACAAAAAAAACAAATGGTCCACAGAACATTCTCCTTTTCTTCTGAAGGTTTTGCAATGCACTGTTGTCATTAATCAGTATTTTAGTACAGTATTAAATGGCCAATTGGGAGAGACAGTCTTCCACCACTAGGTATGGGATGGCAGGTGTTAGTGATAATATTCATTTAGCCTTTTGAGCTTTTGGGGCACATTTGGTGACCTTGCCAGCTCCAGCAGCCTTCTTGTCCTCTGCTTTGATGACATCCACAGCAATTGTTTGTCTCATACTGTAAACAGCAAAACGACCCAGAGGAGGAGAGTCAGAGAAGTTCTTGATATACATGGGCTTGCCAGGAACCATTATCAATGATGGCAGCATCACCAGATTTTAAGAATTTAGGGTCATCATCCAGCTTCTTACCAGACCAGCAATGGGTGATTGATCTTTTCTTTTAGCTCAGCAAACTTGCACACAATGTGTGCTGTGTGTCTAGTACAGAGGCATAGCCAGCCCTGATCTGGCCTGGATGGTTCAGGATAATCCCCTGAGCAGAGAAACCAGCTGCTTCCATTGGTGGGTCATTTCTGCTGTCACCAGCAACATTGCCACAATGTACATCTTTGCCAGACATGTTCCTGATTTTGAAACCCACACTGTCCCCAGGAAGAGCTTCACTCAAAGCTTCATGGTGCATTTCAACAGACTTTACTTCAGCTGTGACATTGGAACAAAGGTGACCACCATGCTAGGTTTGAGAACACCAGTCCCCATGCAGCCCACAGGGAGAGTATTTACCAATTCTGTAGACATCCTGGAAGAGCAGGTGCAAAGGGTTGTCAATTGATCAAGTAGGTGGCAAGATGCAATCCAAAGTTTCAGGCAGTGTGGTTCCACTGGCATTGCCATCTTTATGAGTGGCTTTCCACCAAGGCATATTAGCACTTGGCTCCAACAGGTTGTCACCATTCCAACCAGAAATTGGCATAAGAACTGCTACGTCAGGTTGTAGCCAATTTTCTTAATGTAGGTGCTGACTTCCTTAACAATTTCCTCATATCTCTACTTCCAATAGGGTGGCTCAGTGGCATCTGTTTTGTTAACACCAATTAGTTGTTCCACATCCAGAAGGGCATGCTAACCATTCTGCCTATTCTTGGAGATACCAGCTCCACCAATACCAGCAGCAACTATCAGGACAGCACAATCAGCCTGAGACATGTTTTATCCTTTTTTTTTTTTTTTTTTGCAGTACCAGGGATTGAACTCAGGACCTTGTGCTTGCCAGGCAGGCATGGTGCCACTGAGCTAAATCCCCGGCCCTGTAATCGAGTTTTTGATAAAGGCTCTGTGTTCTGAGGCATCAATGATAGTCACATAATACTTGCTGCTCTCAAATTCTCACAGGGAGAATTTGTCAATGGTGATACTACACTCATGCTCAGCTTTTGGTTTATCTAAGACCCAGGTTTACTTGAAGGAACCCTTCCCTATCTCAGCAGCCTTCTCCTCAAATTTTTCAATGGTTCTTTTGTCAATCCCACCACATTTATAGATCAGATGGCCGGTAGTTGTAGACTTGTCTGAATTCACTGTCTGATGATTATGACATTGATGTGAACCTTTTCCTTTCTCGTTGTTGGCTTTGATTTAGTGGTGGTTTTTGTGCTCTTATGGCAAATGCGTCGCAAAAAAGGCTGATATCTTTGTTCATCAGGAAAATTAACAGATTGTTAGCTACTGTATGCAGAAAGTTAATAAATATGTACAAGAAGAGGCAAAGAACAAAAAGGGAGGCAATTACTAACTCCTGGAATATTTAAAAAGCTTGTTTAAGAAAGAAATGCAATCATAATATTACCTATTTCAATGATGAAAAATATCTTGCATGTTTTTAATAAAATGATATCCATGAGGAATTCAAATTTTGACCCTCTCTAAAAAGAATGGTTTTATGCAAGTCTTTTGAGTACTGTGTTCATAAAAGAAGATTATCCATTTTTCAAACTTTAGTAGCTATGGGATCTTGTTTTGATACTACACAGCTTCATTTCCTGGGAAAGATGACCCACAGAAGGGTGGATAAAAGTGCTGCAGCCAAAGGATTGCTGTTTGTAAAGGCAACCAACCAAGATTTCATCATCATGACTTTTTCTCACCCTGCAATATATTGTGTCCTTTGACGGTACATCACCCTCCCAGCAACAAGAAACCAGCTCTAACTTAACTCTCGGTCATACCTCTGTCCTTCAGAACCGAGAGTTTATGTCCACACCTCAAAATTCATACACTGAAGCCCTAACTTCCAATACGATGATATTTGGAGTAAGGCCTTTGAAAGGCAATTAAATCTAGATAAAAGCCCTCACAATGGGATTTGTAATCTTCTAAAAAGGGAAAGAAGCAGAGCATGGTGGCACATCTCTAATCCCAGTACTCAGGAGGCTCAGGCAGAATGATCACTGAGAGTCTGAGGTCAACCTGGGCTACACAGCAAGTTCAAGCCCAGCCTGAACTATACAGCTGTCTCAAAAAACAAACAAAAAGAGAAGAATATTAAAGAAAAGAAAAAGAGGAAGAGAAGCAAGAGCTTACTTTACTAGGAGAGGACACAAGAAGGTAGCTGTCTACAAGTCAGAAAGAGAACATTCACCAAACACCTTAATCTTAAGATTTCTCAGCCTCCAGAACCGTGAGAAATACATTCCTATGGTTTATGACCCCCAGTCTGCAACATTTTAGGGCAGTCTGAGCTAAGATACTGCCTGAGAAGAGAAGACTGCAGAGTGCTTCTAGGGGTGGCAAAGCTCATGCTGCTTTAGGGTCTCAGCAGAGAAAAACTGCCCTTTAGCCCAAGATCAACCACTGGAACTCCAGGGCCCACAAGTAAGCCCTTGACCAGTCCTTTGTCTAGGTTTCCTATAAGCCTAAAATCTAGCACTTGGTTCCTATACAGACGCCTACACATTTTACAGACCTTTCAGCTATTAGCCATGGGTCGAAGGAGCCTACGGCCTCATGAGATATGAGCCGGAGGTACTGCTCAAACCGGCTACAGTAGTCACCAATGCTGTGCCTCATGCTGCGTGGGACAAACAGGGCAGCCTGGCCTTCTCTCTGCTGGGAGTCTTCTGCAACGGAGGGAAGGGGAGTATCTCTTCTCTCTGATCTCTCTGTTTCTACACTTTCTTCTAGGGAGCTGAAAAGAAACAGAAGATGAAGGCATTCAAAATCACTGATAAACTAGAGTGAACTATTAATTTACCCTGATGGGTTTTTTTGTATATCCTTTTATTGGTACATTTTAGGTGTACAACATAATGACATTCATCATTGGAGATATGCACCTTTACATACTCTCTTGGTTCTTATTTTTCCTCTTTCCCCTACCCTCCCTTCAACCCCTCCATCCCTCCCTACCCTGATGGTTTGATAAATCAAAAGCTCTCCTTCATTTCTTTCTTTCCTACTGAACAAAACTCAACATCCTGTCACTATTCATTGTTCCCCTTTTCACTGTGCTCACCCTCAACCCCATAAGCATTACTGTTTTTAAAAATAATTCTGAGAGCAAATCTTTCAGTAAACAACCAGCACAACCCACATGTACCAAGGTAATGCTCTCAACATGACTAGCCTGCTAACTTGCTGAGTGCCAAAAGGCCCCTGAAGATGCAACACACTCAATGACCATTGCAGATCCACACTGTTTTACTGAGCCATCCTGGTGTTTGCAGATCTTGCTCTAAGAACGTCTCTCTGTCTTGAGGGAACTAAAAGAATCTGGAACTCAACAAATAAAAGGCAACCAACTAGCACAAAAACAGACAAGGCGCCTAACACCTACCTGGCATTGCAGGGCCTTTCTAACATGATGGTAATGGCTGGATCCTTGCCAACTGTTGTCTTTGTGATCCTGATTAGAGGAGGAGGCAGAGGCCTTTCACTTACTGTTGGGGTTTTCTGGTCTAGAAAAGGAGAAGCATAAAGTGATTGCATGTAAATTGATGTCTGTCTTAGAGTTCTTTTAATGGCCAATAACCTAGGAGGAAGTCACACACATATCTCTTAAGCATAAAGGCCAAGCTTGCAGTGCAAAAGGAAAAAATACTCTTGTTTTAAATGCAAAGGTGAATGTAAAAATTACAGAGAAACAAACCAATGAAGACTTAGTGTTAAGAGGGAATAAACTCCTTTCCACGCCTCTGTCAGGTGCAAGGAAGACTTCTGGAGGTCTGTTCAAAGCTCCAGGCTATGCTGGCTGGCATTAGCACTGGCTACCCATTCAAGGAGCCTGAAGCAGTTAAGTTTGTTTTTTGACCTTTAAATGCTTTGATTACTTAAGAAAAACACCACTCACACCTGAACACTTAATTAGCTGATTTAATTTGTCTCTGGGCACTGCTGGAAAAAAAATCTGCGTGATGATAGTCAAAACATTAATTTGTTAACTACAACTCGCAGGCTTGACAGCTCTTCAGAGTTTTAGATCATTTCTAATTTTAAATGTATTTCAAGTGTAGAAATATCATCTGTCCTTGGTAGGGAGCATCTATATGTCAAGTAACTTTCTTTGACTCATATGCTTATAATTTCTTACTGTCAGACTGGCTCCGTTAACTTTTGTAATAATATTATTGAGTATAATTTTCAGTTGTTCATAAGCATAAGAGATACAGATTAGACACTGCACAATCCACAGATCACTTTAAATTTGATTTTGTGATGCAACTTAGCAAATAAGCAGAAGTGGAAACATAAGATTCTTACTACAGTTTCATAATCTGCAATTGCAAATATCTAAAAACTCATTTCAGGTCTTAATATTCTAAAGAGCTCTTTTTCAATGCATACCTAGACTCTTATGCAGAATCCTAGGGAGTGGCTACTAATTTAAATTAACCTTGACAAGAAAGAGCACAAAATCCTGTCAGTCTTCTACATGATGCCAAACAAACCACCCATAAAACAAATTGCTCTTCAATGTGTTTCCCTTTCCTGTTTCCATCCGAAAGGAGGCTAACATGTCTACTGATTAACAAACCATGATTAGAAGGGCTCCTATGCCAGGCACAGTTGGGGACATGACTATGAAGAACTCTTTGGCCTCAAAGAATCTGTGGCTTAGTTGGAAGAGATAGGACACCTTCACAAACAGCTCTACCATGTGGCAGAGCATGCTAGGAAGTGCTTTGGGAGTTCATAGGCAAGAAATGGAGGAAGGGAGCAAAATTCTAGCATATAGATACAGGTTGAGTATCCCTTATCCTAAATGCTTAGGAATAGAAGTGTTTGAGATTTTGGAGATTTTCAAATTTTGCAATATTTGTATAGATATTATTGGCTGAATGTCCCTAATGTGAAAATCTAAAACTCCGATAAACTTCGAAAGCATTTTGCACTTTAGATTTTGGGCTTAAGGATGCTCACCCTACATTAGGAAAAGAACTGCATAAGCAGGATCCAAGGAGCTGGGCCTTGAAGACTCACGTGACTGCTCTGTGAGGATAAGAACAAGGGTTGTAGTAGTGCTGGTAGGAAAAGAACAATGGGAACAGAAAACTATGCTTGAAAATCACAGACAATGTAAAAAGAACACATTAATAGTGTGTTTAGGAGGCTCGTCTTTCTGTCAAAATTTGACACAGATTTATTTTTCCAAGACAAGATTCTAAACTCGTATTTTAAAATAATTATATGTGACATATGCATTTGTAAACCTTCTCTACCCCTAACTTTCTTTACAATTCTCAGTAAGTATAGTACTCACAGTACTTAAATTCCTTTAGAAGTAAATGCTTAACCACATTTTATTCTCCTCCTTTCACTGAGGAAGGCAGTAACTGACAAGCGTGAGTGAAATAGAATTTGATTAACACTTCCCAGCCAAAACTGTGACAGTAGCCTAGCAATTACAGCCAAAATGTGTATATATGAATTTGAAAAGTGGAGGAGAAAAGCCAAAATCTTTTCAACAAATGGTGCTAGAACATGTGGATAGCCATCAGGTAAAGAAAAAAAGCCTTATCCAAGAAATAGACATAAAAGCTAAAACCATAAAGCTTCTGGAAGAAAACAAAAAGAATTATCTTCTCACCCTGAGGGTGGGTAAAGGTTCCTTAGACCATGTAAAACAAAAACCATATGAGAAAAAACTGATGTTGGATATCTCAAAATTAAAAACTTAATGTCTTTTAGAACATAAACAGGGAAGCCACAGAGGGGGAAAAATATTTGCAAAACATTTATCTGAGATTAGTGAGCACCAGGAGTCAGAAAGGAAGACTGAGGAGTAAGAGCTAAAGGATAACAGGTTTCCCTTTTGGGGTGATGAAAAATGTTCTGAAATTCAGAAAGTAGTGACGGTTGCATGACTATGTGAATATACTAAAAACTAATAAGCCACACATATTTAACAGTGTGTATTTTATGGTATGTGAATTATATCTGTATTTAAAGTTGTTATTTCAGAAAAACAAAACAGGGCTGGGGATGTAGCTCAGTGTTAGAGCACATGGGTTTGATCTTCAGCACTACCAAAGACAAAAAAAAAAGCCCATACATTTGACAAGAACTTGTTCCCAGAACACATAAAGGAGCCATATATTCCAAAATAAAAAGATAACCCAATTTTTTAAAAAGAAATAATTTTTGACACTGCACAAAGTATGATATACAAGTGGCTTACCGCCTTGGTCACTTTTGTCATTGCTAGCTCAAAATACTACACGCCAGGAACTTAAAGGAGAGGTTATTTTGATTCACAGTCCCTGGTTGGTTGGCCCCAAGGCAGAAATGGTACAGTGGCAGACATGGCTTGGCAGAGGAAGGCTGCTTATGTCATGGTGGCCAGGAAGCAGAGAAGAGAGGAGAGAAATAGTGGAGCACGTACCCATTGGCCTGCTTCTTCCAATAAGACCTCCTCAACTCTTAAAAGCACATTTAGCTCTGAACTCAATGATGGATTAATCCACTGATGAATATAATGCCCTCATGATCCAATCACCTTCCAAACGCCCTGACTCTAAGTACATGTGCTTTGGGGGACATTCCAGATCCAAACCACAACACTAATAATCACAGGAAAAGGTACTAAATATCATTACTCCTCAAGAAAATTAAATTACCTGGGTTCAGTGTCCAATACCCACCCCCTCCAAGAAACAATAGAAAAACCCCAAGAAAATGAAATTAAAACAACAATGAGATATCACTATATCTCCACCAGAATGGTTACAACTGAAAAGACAATACCAAAAATGTGCAAAGAACATGGAACAACTGAAGCTCAGTGTAGACAGGAATGTTGATGGGTACATAAAGTGGTACAGCCACTTTGACAAAGGTTTGACCATTTTTTTATAAAGTTAAATACACCAATCACATAACCTGGCAAGTCTTAAGTATTTATCCAAGAGATATAAAAAAATTTATAGTCCATATAAAAATTATACATGAATATATTCATAGCAGATCTATTCCTGATAGCCCCAAACTATAAGCAACCTATAGATCTATAGGAAATTGACAAAGGACATGTGGTATGCATATCACAGAATACCACTCAGCAGTAAAAAGGAATGAACTTCTCTGATTTAAGTGTGGTAGGATGAATACTGGCCCCACAAGATGTCTACATCCTAACCCTGGGACCTGTGAATGTTACCTTATTGCAAAAGAGACTTTGATTAAGTTAGGGATCTTGAGATAATGAGATTATCCTGGGTTATTAGGAACCACTAAATGTGACCATACGTGTCCTTATAATAAATAAACAGAGGAAGATCTGACTGTAGAAGAGGAAAAGGCCATGTGCAAATGGAAGCAGAGACTGGGGTAATAAAGATAATGAATGCTAACAGCCTGAGAAGCTGGAAGAAATTTAAGGAACAGATTTTCCCTGGAAGCTCCAAAAAGAACTACCCACCCCTCCTAGCACCTTGATTTCAGCCATTTAAGACTCACTTTAGACTTCTGACCTCCAAAACAGTAAAAGAATAAATTTGTGTTTTCAGTCACTAAATCTATGAATAAAACTTGTTTATAAACTTAAATTTGTTAAAGCAGCAACAATAAATAAGCAACATAAAAAAATCTACAAAACACTATGCTGAATTAAAGGAGTCTAGACAAATAACAGACAAGTACATACTAAATGATAGCACTTGTATGAAATTCTAGAATAGTCAAAGTCAATTACCAAGTAGAGCCTGGTGGTGGGGAACTGACTGGGAAGGGAATGAGGGAACTTTCTGAGGTGGTGATACGTGCTATGTCTTGATAAGCATTTGGGTAAGAAACACGTACCCATGTGTCAAAACCTATCAAATGACAGTTAAGATCTGTGCATTTTGTTATATGTAAATTTTATCTCAGAAAAAAAAAGAACCATAAATAAATATTAAACTCTAGCTGATGATGTGTATGCGGCATATTTAGAGGTGAAGTGTACTGATAACTGGCAACCTTGATTATTTTATTTTTTTTCTTTCATCGTACTGAAGTTTGAGCCCAGGACCTCAGGCATGCTAGGTAAGCACCCTACTCCTAAGCCATACCTCCAGCATACTCTGAAATGTACAGATAAAATGCATTTGAAATGCAAAGATCTGATGAACTGATAGGCCAGATGTGGTGGCACCCATGCCAGTAATACCAACATTTGGGAGGCAGAGACAGAAGAATCACAAGTTCATCTAGGCAACTTAGCAAGACCCTGTCTCAGAATAAAAAATAAAATGGGCTGGGGATGTAGTTCAGTGCCAGGGTTGAAGGAGTGATGAACGGATGGGGAGAAGAATAAGGAGACAGGTGAAAAAGTAAATATAGTAAAATATTAATTGTACAACATAGAAGGGGGGTATATGAGAATTCACCATATAATTTTTCTCTGTATACTTGAAATGTTTTGGAATACAAAGTTGGGGGGAAAAGCAGGGAAAACACCTACCATTTCTTTCTTCCTGCATCCATAAATGAGGATCAGCATATACAATTTTACTGTATCTTTGGCGAACTGTCTCTTGGTATTTCTTTAAAAAAAAAAGTTTTATTTATGAGAAAAAATGAGTTTCATTATAAAACAGACCTAGTTCAGGATGGAAAAGTTCAGGAGATACCATCAATACAGACAAACTGCTAGCAATGGGCATCTGCCAAACCAGGATGTGATCAAGAGGTGAAGTCTACAATAAAATAATGCAATTACCACGGCTGCAATCTGGACCAGAACTGTCCACTAGAACTTGCTGTGATGACAAAATGTTCTTTATGTGCCTTGTCTAAAACAGTATCCATGAACTAAGAACCACTTGTAGTTGTGTTCTAATTTTAATTAATTTACATTTCAACAAGCACATGTGCCAGGCAGCTACTGTTTGGGACAGCTCAGGCCTGGACAGTTATCCCCACGAAAGGGAAAGCAGTCACAGGACTAGGATAAAATGTGTATCTTTAAATTTCAAAAATCAACAAAAATTTATTTTCTGTATAATTTTCCTATTTAGCAGCAAAAAATAAATGAGATTTAATCACAGAGCAATTAAAAAGAAAATGCTGAACTTGGTGCAGGAAACTTGAATTCTCATCCTAGCAATTTTTTTGTGTGACCTTAGGCATATCACTCTTTCATTATGGGTCTCAATTTAACTGCTCTGAATAATCCAAGGGTTATGTTGAGTAATGTCTGAGATCTGAGGTTTTATGAGAAAAACATTCTAAAAGTAGTATTATGGAAATTAAAGTAGTATCATCTGTGACTTGACAGGATCACACTCTAGCAGGGTAAAAGAAGCAACTGTAGAGTACTTACAAACTGTCAGATGAAAGAAGTCTATGTTCCCATTTGTGGAACTAAATCTTGGTCCCAGTGGTTTTAGAATCACAAACCACTGTTATTAGGGGGACAGTAATAATGATCGCTAATGGGGTTACATGTCAGACAGTATGCTGAATCTCGATACCTCATTCTGCCTTCAAAAACCTTACTTATTAGATAAGAGTAAGTGACTATACTAAGGTTATACACTTAGTAGGTAACAGAGCTGGGACTCAGAAGCAGAACCACGTGACTCTGATATATTAAACACCAGAGACATGAGAAAGAACAGATGTGAGTGCTCAGTGGCAAACCATATCAGCAGCCCCCAACCTTACTTCCATTTCCTCCATTCGGAGCATCATGGTCTCCAGATTTGGGCTGTCCTTGCTGTCCCCTAGGGTGTATAAGGTTTCTGATCCCAAGTTCTTATCATGAGTCATAGCCCAGAGCTCATGAGCAGTATCTTCCAAAAAGTCATTCAGCCGATGAATATTGTTGCATTCAGAATTAACTGCAGTATCCTATAAAACAAGGGAAGGAGAGGTGGAAAGGCAATACAAAGAAATGAGAGAAACTTATTATAAGATTATTGCTGATCATAATAAACCAACAGCATAATCATCCAACTGGTAGTTTCTATGCTAAAACAAACCTCTCCTAAATCAGTAAATATTAAAAGCGCTAACATGAATACAGTTTTTATCACAGTCATTAAAATATTGACCGTGTAAAACCATTATTGTCTTTGTAAATTAGCATTTCATCTGTTTGCCAGTTGGTAGAGCATATCTTCCTTTTGCCATATTCAGCAGAATCATATTTTACATGTCATAAACTGTAGGGGACATAGCTCTTCCCTTTTGGGTCGATACTTTTGTAAAAGCCTCATGACATCACAAAGATCAAGATTCTTTGTCTTTGCCTGAGATTCTATGGTTATAATCTCAGAGAGTTTTATAACTAGCCTTTTTTTATTTTACAGCTTTTACATTCACAAAGTGCTTTATATAGCTTTCAAAGCATTTCTATATGCATTTTATTTCTCTTGATTCTAATACATGTCTATAGTTTGCTCTGAAAGAGGCTTTTTACAATGTTTGCTAGGCAAAGCAAAGATATTCATGAGATTAAAGCCTGCTTTTTCCCACTCATAAACCTGCAGCTCTGGGCAAGTTTATCAACCTTTCTGGGCCACAGTCTTTTCATCTGTACAATGGAAATAATAATCTTGTATTTCAGAGTTGGAAGGATTTCATGAGAACTTGTTTGTTAGAACATAGCACAGTGCTTGGCATGAAATAAGATAGTCAGTAAAAGGTTACTGCTACAGTAATTTAAAAAAGCCTTTTCAACAGTTTACAGAAAAAAATATATTAATGACCAATAATAAAGATTTCAAAAAGTTCAATCTTTAGAGTTAAAGAAATAAAAATAACTTTAGCCAATATAATAAAATTACAAAACATCTAGACAACTTAGCAAACAAAACAGATCTAGTTAAATGAGATATGTGTGTTTACATATGTAATATTTTCCATCTATAAAGAATGGAATACAAAGAACACTAAGTGTTACTAAGAAGGGTAAAGAAGGTCTCAATGTGATGGTACAGAAAAAACACCAAAATATAAAGAAAGAAGCATGTTACAGAACAGCGTATGATCTGTTAGAGGGGTGATTTAACTTTTCATATTATACTTTTTCTGAATTGTTTGAATTTTTGGCCACATACATACATAACTTTTAATTCTAAATAAAAACCATACATTTTAGAAAAATATATTTCATATACAGCTACAGTAACAGACAAGTATGCTGTCATGGTTCCCTTACAAGAACTTTTTCCTGGTTCCTGCTATCAGATATCATTTTGCTTACAGGTAAATCTACTAGGAGATGAATTTTACTTGTTAAGTGCAAGTGAAATACAGGAAATCTATTCTCCATTTTAATGATGGTAAATCTGAGAATTTGTGTTCAAGATCCCACAGCTCTTTTATAAATTAACATTGGGGAAAAAATTCTACTTCATCATGGTAACTTCTATGAGTTAGTTCATTTGTGTTTCTTTTATTCAGTTATTTATAAACATTGACTATTGATGGCATCGTCTAAGAAATTCTTTGCAAAGATGTTAAAACATCCCAAATTCTAAATACCAAAGTTACTTTTCCCTTTCAATAAATTGTATTAAAGATGATTTAAAGCCTAATTTTTACATACAATTTTTACATACTGAATTCTTCTAGTACTATTCAGACATGTCTATTTTGTTGTCTTCATTTATAGTCACTTTGTTTTCCTCTCATATTAAAATGCAGTACAGGGTTGCCTGCCTAGGTTAGGGATTAGCCACTATTTTGCTGAGACAGGGGTTGGGGGATCCTTTAGTGGCTGTGCTGCACAAAACACCAAGCTGCAGCACACCTGAATGTGTAATGATCAAATGTAGGCTTTTAGCTTCCAGTCACAGAAGCCTTACTTCACATGAAATTCTGTCACAAAGGG